CTGGTGACCTGTAACAAATTCCCACTATAAGCCTTTTCCCTTTATATCTGCTAATAGAAACCCAAATGAATTCAATCTTCTTGCTATTATCTTCAACTTCAACACGATGTAACTCACATTTTTCAAATAAAGCCATTCCTCCCCCCATCTTTAGTGCTCTATCCCTATTAAATGGCCTGTAAACCTTTATTTCAAAAACAATATCTGTCTCAAAATCATCTACATTTAACCATGTTTCAGTTATTCCCATTATATCAAAATCCTCCATTCCTAAAAATGCTCTAAGGTCATTTATTACACTTCTACCATTACAATAGTAACAATTACGCCTACTCTTATAACTACTTCTATACTCATTTCCTATGCTAAACTTTTCTCTACATCTTATTGTTTTTTCATTTAGTTTACACTGGCCCTCACCACTGTCTAGTCCTAGTTTAAAACTTCCCTTACAGCTGAGTTAATAGCCCTTGCAAATAAGCCAGCCCCTACCCTACCCTACTTAAATGTAAACCATCCATTCCAAAAGGCTCCCTTCTCTCATTAAACTGATTCCATAAGTCCAACCAGCCAATCTGCTCAACCTTACATATTATTAACCTAAGCCTATCATTTAGCCCTAGTGATCTACTTATAATTTCATCCCCACAATTAGTTCTCAGAAATATCCCTGACACAATAAAGTTATGGCTTTTTTTTTAACTGCCTTTATCAGCCCCTTGTACTTAATTAGCTCCTCTTACCTACCTTTCCCTACAAAAACTACATCATAGCCCCTTTATTATGTCTCTTGCTCTATCAGTTATATCCTTCACCTGTGCCCCTGGGTAACATAATCTAATTCTTTTATCCCTATTTACCCCACAGACTATCCTATCCACGTGCCTTATCAAAGAATCACCTATAACTATAACCTCCTTAAGTTCATCATTCACATACTTTTCTGTCCCTTTTGTTTTCCTTCCCTCCAATAGTTCCTCATCTTCACAAGCTAAGAGTTGAAATCTGTTGCTCAACAGACATTTCATTACAATTATATTCACTATTTTTAGCCCTAATAGGACTCTTTCTAACTTCCTGATAATCACTGTTACCTGATGTATCCCTTGCATGTAGAAGCTTAAGCTCCTCTTAAAATCCTACTGCCATTTCCCAGTTTAAACTTCTCTTTCTCTATTGTCTCTATTTTAATTAAGACAGTCTCCAACTTCTCCTCCAACCTATAATCTCTATGTACAAACTGCACATCTTCACTATTACTAGCTTCCTTAAAAGTATATACCGGTCCCGAGTTCCCAAATAAAACTTTAAAAAATTTTAAGAATCCAATATTATCTTTAACTCTTTCTGTAGTTCAAACATGCAAAAACTTCTAGTATATTTACAAATAGTTAGAGTTAGACTTAATTCATAACCTATTGTGTGTGTGTGTGTGCATATATATATATATATCCTTAAGTTAATTTCATTTCAAATGAGGCCTAACAATACTTAAAAAAATGTTTGAAAATGATATTTATTTGAATACAGGAGACCCTCCCTCTTTCTCACACAAAGTACACCAATTGAATATAGTAAACAGCTACGATACCTTATTCAGTAATTGGTGAATTAAAATTATTGCATCTTAATCATATTAATAATTATATTTAGACAACTGAATCAAATAATGAGTTTTGGTTTTATACAAAAGGCCTCTTATTCTTAGGCAGTGATTTGTGGGAGACAAAAGACAGATTTGAAATGCTATTTTTACATGCCTCTGATTTTAAATTTGCAACTGGCAAAAAAAGGTCTAGTGTTAACATGATTTTTATCACAAATTTTATGCCTACTGTTTTCTAATGCTTTGCCAGCTTTTGGCATTTAAACTATAACTTTCAGTTTATTATTCTGCATATATATAAATAGAATTTTCTGAAAATCTTTTGTCTGATTGTCCAACCCAACTGACGTATTCTGGTTTTGTATGAAAGGCTATTTTTCCATACCTCTGAAAACAACCAGAAAAAAAACCCTGCAATTAAAGTGATTTTATCACAAGTTTTAAATTTACTCATAATTAATATTAGAGACATATTGCAAGTTTTATTGTGATCATTATCTTGGATTTAAATTAAGTTTAAACGAATGGTATTTCCCAAAACAGTAACACTAACGAGTAACAGTAACAGTTAACAGGTTCAAAGTCAAACTTTACACTTCAAACAAATCACAATACAAAAAGCTACAACAGTATATAATGAATTTTATTAGCTGCTATTTACGTATATGTGGTTCTACTAACACTGCATAAACTATAAAGCTTTTGTTACTATTATTAATATATTGCATTTTTTAAGCTAAATGAATAATTCTTCAAATTCAATTTCTTGGTAAGACTGCGATTCAATTTTCAATTCAGTATTGCACTTGCCTAATGCTACGGTTAAGCATCAAGTTCAACATATCAAATCAATTTATCATACCTTCCTTCAATCTACTTTCAATCTCTTTATGTTCCAAAAGTTTTTTCCGATAATCTTGCAAAACCTTTTCCCTTCCAGAATCTACCACAACTCCAGCCGCCATTTTTGATAATGCGTAACCTATACTTTACTGAAGTTAATAATGGTTCGTGTTGCTGAAGTTGCTACTATTTCCTTGTTACTTATTATGATTTTGAATTTGGTTACATATTTACTACTACTTACTCGACATAAATATTTTTAATTACTTGTATTGAAGAAGTCTAAAACATAAGCCCCCCTTTAACATTGCTTAAAAAAATACATAAAAATGATTTGGTACTACCACAAGATCTTCATTTCAACATCAGGCTTGGGCATGGCCTAGTGATTAGGAAGCTCGACTAGCAATATGCGGGTTTGAATCCCCATCATCGAACATACTTGCCCTTTCAACCGTGGGGGTGTTAGAATGTGATGGTAAATACCGTCATTCTTTGGCACAAAAGTAACCCAAGAGTTGGCGGTGGGCGGTGTGACTAGCTGTCTTCCCGCTAGTGTATTACTGCTAAATTAGGGGCGGTTAGCGCAGATAGACCTCGAGTAATTTTGCGCGAAATTTAAAACAAACCATTTCTAATGTGTATTTGCTAATGAAATACACTAGTCCTTGATTTTCACAAAATGCTAAACAGAGGTACATTACAGCGCAGTTTTGCTCTTTTCTCAATATGTCGACTTCAGTAGCTATATTTCATAAACTAACAACTGAATCACCCAGATTCCAAACTGTCTCTTACAAATACATCTATGCAAATTATTGATACCAATTTCAGAGTGACGCAATCATTTATTTTTACACAATTTTAACATAAGTTATATTACCGGCGATTTTTACCCTTTCTCGATACCAACATCTGTATTTCATAAAGTAACAGTTGCGTCTTGTTTTTTGTTTATTGTTAAGTACAAATCTACTTTATGGGCTATCTGTGCTGTTCCCATCACAGGTATCGAAACCTGTTTTTAGCATTATAAACCTTAAGACTTGCCGCTGAGACACTAAGGGATAACAGCTGTGTCAGCTCATATACTTAAAAAAAAGAGAGAGATGACAAACACTTCTGAGTAGAAGTTGGTCATAACATCACTTTACGTTTTATGTAAGATTGTATGTAACCAAGAAAGGATCCTAAGGAAAGAAACAAACTGTCTAATTATTAAAATAATTGACCAATCAAATTGTATAATTGTTAACATACAAGACCAATAAAATTTATTTTTTCTATAAAATCTCTTACATACATAAGTCTCGAATTGTTGTTTTTCTTTACTACATTTGAATTAAATATAAACAAAATGTGCCTAAAAAGTGATACAATAAAAAGCTGTATATTGAAAAGTGATTATATCCGGCTTACCTTGCCAAATAGCCTGTGAGCATACGTCTGGCCCAACTTCAGCGCATGCATAAACTCATCTCCGACATCACCAAATTATATGTTACCCTCTTGAATTCATCAAGATCATACAGAAAGAGACCTGTAACATGTCGTGTCCAAGCCATAGTTAGCACAGTGTGGTTTCTTGTATCCACAAAAGTCAATGACAAAGAAACATCCACATGCCTCAGGCAACTGCATGCAACATAATCAAGAAGAAACTCTGTTTGGAAACAAAGCCAACAGAGTATGGGCTCACCAAAATAAGACAGTCCTACCTCTCGTTCAACTGTCGCATATCTTAAGCATCTAAAGAGTGAAACGGGTATTCAATTATTCCATATAAAGACATACCTGTCAAACCGTCTGATGTAGCATCTGAGGATTTCTGTGTGATCGGGATATTGAAAAAGGTACTGGGAAACTGTTGTCCTCTTAAACAAGACGGATTATGGACAGCATGTAGTGAGTAGGAGTGTTATTTGAACATAACAGCCTTATGATGAAGCCTTTTGCAATGGAGACTACACTGCATGGTTATTTTCAAATGCATGGTCGTCAGACAGAGCATGACTAGATATGGTGACACGGATTTTAATGACGTGCTGAGGCTCCAAAATAATTTCAATATAATGTACTCAACCTCTGTATATGTGAATAAGAAATAAATGCCAAGTGCATACATTTTTTTTTAATTTTACTAGTTATTTCACCACTTTCAATTGTTACACTAATCTTCACTATAAAAAAATCACTATTCACTTGACTTTTAACTATCTGTTAAATATGTGATTTAGTGTGACAGGACATTGCACATGTAGAAGGGACTGTTATGCTAGCACAACAATATGTGGGACTGTGTCATACGCAGGCATAGCAAGTGTTTCTTACCCCCTTCTTTAATATATATTTTTTTTTCAAAATTTATGCACATGTTGAGCAAGCAGTCTTAATATAGAAAGTCGGTCAAGGAGCCACTAAGTTACTCTTGTCCTAGTTACTCAGCTTGGTCATTCAACTAATTAGGGCATCACTTATATTTTCTCGTGGGAACATTCATGTAAAACAAAACATAAGGTACAGAAAGTGACAATGGTCTTTAACACGGAAAAGGCAGGTGTTGCCTCAAGGGTACAAAATCCCTTATTTTGAAGTGAGAGTGGATAGTGCCCACACTCGAAAAATAATGGTGTTATTATTTTAATATATAATAACATATTTTCTCAGTCTGGAACATGATGTTGGATAGAAATATATGGTTAATTTTGCTACAGATAGATTTCATGATATTTGAGCTCACCAGTAAAGGAACCAAAACAATATACTTCTTTTCACCTTGGATTGTTTTTTGGAATTTGACATAATAGTTGTTTCATTGTGTCTAGTCACTTTCTTTTTGTCAAACTCAGTTGATTTCGGTGAATTCAGAGTTTTGTTCTACAATGCATATCCTGGCAAGTGTCACACACAGGCGCTAATGGCTCGATCAAGTCTACAACTACTCTGCTGAATGGCTCTTCTATGAGAGGCATCTCCCCAATGGCACTTTGTCTACCTTCCCTCTAGGCATTGTCCTTTGGCAGATGTCACATAACCTGCAGAATCTACTCATATCTCTGATGACTCCCTGCAAATGAAAGTTATTGGTGATTCTGTCTGCCATTTTCTTTGTTCCTAAGTGTCCTCCTACAATTGATTCATCAGCCAACTTCATCACCAAGTCGTGTATTGATATCTTGATGCACATGGCCTCAACGTCTCCACCTTTATTTTTTCTATGGGAAACTTTCTCACTGTCCCATCAATTAGCACACACAGGCATACCTTGCCTGTTATGCGATCATTTGATACTAGACTGGTTATTACTGCTGCACTACTGCACCCAGTGTCTCGTAGAACCTTTACTTTCTTGTCCCCAACATGGCCTTCACATATTAGCATATTATGATTTGTTGGCACCTCTTGATATTTGTCATATGATCCCATCACTATTGGCACTGTTGAACCATTTGCTAATTTGAGCTGACCGTTAGTCGTGCACTGATCAATCATGCTTTCTTGCTTTGAATTTGACAAGTATTCTTGATTCTCTTTCTTTTGGCAGCAGTATCCATAGTGCCAGTCATTCTTTTCTTGTTTCTTACCAACACTGTCTTTGTGAATGGCTTCAGCTGCTTTATGTTGAGGTTTCTGTTGTTGTTTGCTGGTAATGGACTTGCACTCTTTTGCAATGTGCCCCATTTTATAACAAACACAACATCTCTTCTCCCTTCTGTTTTTTAACTTCCTGTCACCTTTGGTAAACTCCTGCTTCTGGTCAACCATTACTAGTTTCAAATTTTTGTTCTTTTATTTTTTCTTCCTCTCTGCCTATGCTCTTCTCTCTCTAGTTCTTGTTTAACAGATTTTCGTTGTTCTCTGTCTTTTAACCCAAGACGTTCTCTAATTTCTATCAGTTTATCAAAATCTTACATGGATAATGGCATGATTGTGATCTCTACTCTATTTTCGTTACTACTACAGTTGTGCCTACGTATCTCTGCTGTCGTTCACGTTTTCTTCTGTCGCTGTTTACCACTGTATAATCCTGGCTGGCTCACCAATTGTCAGAATTTAAAATATAATCTTCTCTTTCGCTAATTGTCAAAATAAAAGGCTTTTACTTATATTTATTAATAGTAGAAATTTATACCATGTTCTTGTTTGGCTTAAGATTCTTCTAGTGTTCTACAGTAGGTGTCTGTGACTTGTTAGCGATAAATTCAACAATAAATAAATAGCACGGAACAAGTTAAACATGTGTGTAACAAATTCTTAACTCTATAAAGATTGTAGGCATATCATAGACATTATATATGTAGTTCCCTTCTTTTTGTAAAAAGTCCACTAAGGTCTATTCAATTATTTTAGAAATGCAATTGACAAGCTGAACTATTTTCTCTATTACTATCGCACTAGTATTCTGTCTGTGATTCACTGACAATTGTGGCACGAGTTACCGTTATTGTTTGGTCTTCTTTATTCTAAGTATCCTCTGTTCCTTTTGTCAAAATGCTCTCAGGTTGGTTCAATTACTTTAGAACCACGCTTTGACGGAATAATTATTCTTCTTATCTCCTGTTAGTCTTACTCTAACATAATAAACGTTAGGCCTATCACTTCTACGGTAGTTAACTTCACCCCGAACTTTACTCTTTTTTTCCTATTAGCTGTATACTGTTTTTGCTCGTTTCACACTATTTATATATTTATCACTTAATCGTTT